TGTGTTATCCAGCAGAAAAATCTTCCCAACCTTCCGTGTTACAAACCACCCAGAAAGTCTCCTAGCCAGTACCAGATTGTAAGCAGAGAACTTAAGCAAGTCGTTTCTTTGTGCTTTCAGATATAATTGTATATGTTCAGTAATTAATCAAATAGTTAATCAGATGGCTCTGCACAGGAGGTAGATAACGTTGACTACTTGATGAGAAATTTTGAAGATAAAAGCTTTCTTCTGAAGCATCATCCATTATTTTCACCAGTGGATTACAAAGTAAACCTTGCCATATCCAAAGGGGACAGCCTTTAATGCTTATCCATTGATGCAAGTTGATGGGTGATGTTTTGACATAACAATAAGCCCTGCCAGTTATTTCTTACCTTACTTCCTTCCATCTTCCAGTGCAAAATGGCAATGCTGAAATACTCCATGTGGGATATTTTTCTGCATTCACAGACTGTGGGCTGTTTGTAGTCAGTATGTTATGATGGTCAGAGAAGGTCTGAAACCAAGGGAAGAAGGAATGTGGTGTTTCAGGGTGTGTGCCCCCTCAGCATCGTCTGTGTTTGGGCTACAAGAGGACCTCAAGAGGGCCTCTGAAGCTTGAGCTACAATTTGTGCTGCTGCTTTGAGCGGTGGTGGGCAGCAAGAAAATCATTGCGCTCCCTCAGAGTGAACTGTTTCTGAGGCACAGGTGAGTTGGCTGAAGTAGAGATATAAACAAGACTTCTCTGCAGTTGCTAGGGAGACGTGCCAATCAGATTTTCACGGTAATAACAGTATCAGTTGACATCACATACCAGGAAAACAGCAGGCAAGAGATTCCCAAGTAATCTTCCTTAATGCTATTGGTTAAACCCTCCCTTTAAAATGCATTTTATAACAAGGCTCTCAAATCCTGCTTAAGATATGACATATGGAAACCTCAACTGAAGAGCACCGATCATTTTCGTTGTTCTGTTCTTCCCTAGGGCGTCAGCCAGCATTTTTTCCCTGACCATATGCAAGATAGGCGGAGCATGGTTTTAGTCAGTAAGGATGCGGAGGTGATGTGGTTGAGGAAGGAAAGCTTTGAAGAGTTAGCAGATTTAGGAAAAGTTTTTGAATTACACAGGTGTTATCCTAGGTGAGTAAAATGAACGTGTCTGAGAAGCAAATTGACGTGTGAAGCTGTAAACCAGCGTTTGGGCTACTTGACCAGCACTTACTCAGCATCCTTCTTGCCCCTTTTATAATAAATAGGGAACCTCTGGCTCCATCAAAGGTGGAATTTCACAACCAAATATTTTGACTGTCTTTTCAGTGACGATGAGCTGTGTCAGAAGTTTCTAGAAGAGAACCGGTGGAAAATAATAAAGACAGACATAATACATTCTATATTACAAAGAAAACATGCATCAAGAATAACTCCTGCTTTTGAAAAGCCCAGAGAACAAGTTCATAGTTCCTGGAGTGTGAACCAAGCTGGTATTCTCAACCTGCGTGCACTCTGTCATAAACCTTCTCAGCAGCACCTGCAGAAGTTTGTTCCTCTTCACCTGGAGGAAAGAAGGCAGTTTCCAGTTATGCTAGATACTGAGTTACGACTGATTCATAATATCATTTCACCACAGCTCAGTTTAAAAGAAGGCATGAGAAAGCAATTTAAAAACACTGATGCAGGCAAAAAAAAACCACCATTTAAAAAAATAAGTGAAAGTTTGTAAGAATAAATCTGCATTCAAATTCATAGTTCTCCCCCTGAACTTTTTTCTGTCATTTTTCCAGGATTGCTGCTGTGAACTTCAATGTACATACTGTTTTTTTCCAATGATAATTTAATTTTTTCTTCATTATAAGGAAATAATTTTATGCACTCAAATACTGCTCTCACCTATGTTTTGTTCTCTGGAATATACCCTTTTATATGAAATATTGAGAGTATTTTTAAGACTGAGATACTTTCATGTTTGTATATCTGGTGAATACAACTGTGAATGCAACTGGAAAAAAACTCTAGTCCCTCTTCCAGCTGAGATGATAAAATTGTATGAGATGATGCTTAAAATATGTTGATTGAGTACAGGTGCGATAGCTGCTGTAATCTTTGTAATACTTGTGCTTCAGTGTATTTGGAAGGCTCATACTGTGGCAACGTGCTAATCACAACCATAGTGCTGAGTTCTGAACACTGCCAGGGTAAGTTGATCACAGTTTTTAGTGAAACGTGAAATAATTAATAGACTTTGTGTGTGTGTGTGGTTTTTGGTTTTTTCTTTTTTGGTAATACTGAACTTAAAGGTAAGTAATCAAACCATAAAGACATGTTCTTCCATTGCATTAAACCTCTAAGAAATGTTAAGACCTGCCTACACTTGCAATGGGTTTATACCAGAAAACTGTCTGTCTAGTGCCTTAGTGATATTCCAGAAACATAATGATCCTATAAAAAGTGATCTTATGAAAAGGAAGATATCTTGAAGGAGATGACTAGTGGAGACTTTCCTGGACTATGGATGCTACTTCTGGGGGTGTCTCATGCATGAGGAGTACAGGGCTGGAATTTTCCTGTGCTTACATGAGATTCTGGCCCTGACTTGAGCTGAGATTAGGCTACTTGACCTCTAGAGACCCCTTCCAATGTAAATTACTCCGTTCAGTGGATTGATGTTGTCCTTGTTTGCAAAAAAATAAGCTTTATATGTATAGAGTGAGGCTGCAAGTTGGACAAAGTAACTGTAGCTTCTGATTATTCCAAGGCTTTATCCTTTCATTGATACAAATGTCATTTATTGCAGAATATAAATCACAAAGAGCATGCACTGTTGTGGAAGATATTTTGATGTAGGCTTTAGAGTTTTCCATTTTATCTGACCCAGTTATGTGCTTGAGAAATTAATATACTTCTAACATATTGCTATCTGAGGAGAAAAAGTAATCTGGAAGGATATCTATTTAAAAGTACACAGAGAGGTCTCTTATCTAGTGCCTTAGAAGAAAAATGAGATGATAGATTTTAACTGTCTGGAATATATAGCATCATAAGATCCTGGAAGAAATTAGTATTTGTGAAAAGTTAGGTCCTTAAACAGTTATATGTACTTAAAACTAACGGAACAAAAACACTAAACTTATCTGACCCGTTTTCAGCTGTTGTGAACTGAGGTACTTCTGTGATCAGTGAATTTGATCATTTCCATTTCTCAGTATGTGTCTTTGAACAGAAAAATATTCTGTTAGTTAAATTCTCTATAGACAGTTGCCCTCTCTTAAATAGAGGCCATGTTATTGCTTCAAATTGAAGCCAAACTGGTAATGATCTAGCGATTTGTTTAATCACATGATGAGAGACTGTGGTTTTAGGTTGATGCCCAAGGATGCTGCAGTACAAAAACTAGCATTAACTGATACCCTTCTTGAAAGTTTCACTTCTGAAGATTCCTGAACTGCTTTAAAGCATGCTCACGGGAAATGTGAGGAAGCTTTTCTTGCTGCATTTGTTCTTGGAGTGATAAAGGTACAAACAACAGTGTGTTTACTGCAAAGAAGGTAAATTGACTGTTCCCTCTGCTTCTCCTTGTCAAAGGGACTTTCAATAAAAAACTAAATGATTTAAAGCTAAGAAGAAGAAATAATTTTTGCTGAATACATCATTTATCTGCAAAGGACATGTCCACAAAGTCAAACATAATTTAAAATATCCACAGTTACGTTACTGGATTGTAACATAACTATTGATCCCTTCTGTAGAAGGATCACAGCTAACAGAGGCAGTGAACAGATGCAGCAGTTCACAAGAAGGCACCTTCGTTTCTAATCCTAGTAGTGTATGCTTCCTCAGATACAGTCATGACATGCCACAGAGCACGTTCCTCAGTAGCTGTTGGAGTTGCTGCACCAACCGTGTCAGAAGCTTCGACCCAGACAGACCGTCTGACATCGTATGCAGCTTGCAGGTCTCAGGCTGCAGGGATTGCTTTGCACCTCTCCGTGAGGCCTGGGCTAACAGTCAGCTCTTCTGCAGAAGGAGTGCTTTTGTTGACGAGTTATGTCGTCAGGTGAAGGAGTTACAGGAGGAAGTCAGTAGGCTGCATAGCATCCGAGAAGATGAGCAAGAGAGAGAGAGGGTATTCTCGGAGACCATACTGCTCCAGGAGTCCCAACCCCCCACAGCAGTGAAGCTGTGAGAGGGCTCTGTGCCATGTGAAACGGTACATCATAACGCTGTAGAAGGCTTGAAACTGGTCGCCTCTCGTAGGAGGAGAAAGGCTCTTACTCCTCCTGAAGACTTGCAATTGAGGAACAGGTTCAGTGCCCTCCGGGCTGAGGAGAAGCTGGGCATGGCTTCAAGGGAAGCAACTGGACTGACAAACTCCGTGCCATGCAGGAACGCCTGGAAGAAGCGGCGAATGATTGTTGTGGGTGACTCCCTGCTGCAGGGGACAGAGGCACCTATCTGCCGACCTGACCTCTTGTCTAGAGAGATTTGTTGCCTGCCGGGGCTCTAATGCAAGTTGTCATGGAAAGACTGCCAAGGCTTGTCCATGCTTTGGACTATTACCCTCTGTTGTTCTTCCATGTGGGCACTAATGATACCAATGGCAAATTGGAAACCATCAAACAGGATTTCAGAGCTCTGGGGATGGTGGTCAAGGGTCTGGGAGCCCAGGTTATTTTCTCCTCAATCCTACCAGTGATGGAGAAGGATGGGAGGAGGAGTAGACAGATTTTCCAGGTTAACTGACTGTGCTCCTGGTGTTGGCAGTAGGGTTTTGGTTTCTATGACTATGGGACCCTATTTGAAGATTGACAACTGACTGGGAGAGATGGGATCCACCTCACTAAGCAGGGCACGTGTGTCTTTGTCAGCAGGTTGGCCAGCCTGGTAAGGAGGGCTTTAAACTAGGAAAGATGGGGGGGGAAAGGGAGAGTTATAGAGACAGGCTAGTCAGTGAAACGCGGCTCAGGTTGGGATGCCTCTAGAGGGTGTATGCAGCCAGGGAAGTGCGCATGGGACATGACTATGGAGGATCCTCTTGCACCCCTCCTGGGAAACCTGCATGCTCGATTACCTCTCTGAAATGCCTGTACATCAAAGCACGCAGCATAGGGAATAAACAGGAATAATTAATTAGAGATCTATGTGCAGTTGCAGGGCCATAATTTCATTGCAGTTACAGAGACATGATGGGATAGTGCGCATGACTGGAATGGCGTCATGGATGGCTATGTACTTTTTAGGAAAGACAGGCCAGGAAGGCGAGGTGGTGGAGTTGCCCTTTATGTGAGATAGCAGCTGGAAGGTATCAGGCTCTGCCTAGGGGTGGATGAAGAGGTAGGTGACACTGTTATAGGTGTTTACTACAGGCCACCTGATCAGGAAGAGGAAGTTGATGAGGCATTCTACAGACAACTGGAAAGAGCCTCATGATCACAGGCCCTGGTTCTCATGGGGGACTTCAACCACCCTGACATCTGCTGGAAAGAGCACAGCTAGGCACAGCGCAGGAGGTTCCTGCAGAGCATTGATGATAACTTTTTGATGGAGCCAACAAGGAGAGGTGTGCAGCTGGACCTTGTGCTAACAAACAAGGAAGGACTGGTTGGAGATGTGAAGGCTGGGGGCAGCCTTGGCTGCGGTGACTGTGAAATGGTGGAGTTCAGGATCCTGTGAGGAGGAAGCAGGGCAAAGCAAGTAGGATCACAACCCTGGACTTCAGGAGAGCAAATTTTGGCCTCTTCAGGGACCTACTTGGAGGAATCCCATGGGTTAGGGCCCTAGAAGGAAGGGGAAGTGATATTCAAGGATCACTTCCCCCAGACTCAAGAACGGTGCATCCTCATGAGCAACAAGTTGAGCAAAGAGGGCAGGAGACCTGCATGGATGAGCAAGGAACTCCTGACAACACTCAAACAGAAGAAGGAAGTCTACAGAATGTGGAAGCAGGGAAAGACCACTTAGGAGGAATATAGGAATGTTGTCAGAGTGTGCAGGGATGAGACAAGGAAGGCCAAGGCCCATTTGGAGTTAAAGCTGGCAAGGGATGTCAAGGACAGTTAGAAGGGCTTCTTCAAATACATCAATAGCAAAAGGAAGGCTAGGGAAAATGCGGGCCCGCTGCTGAATGGGGCGGGGGCCCTGGTGATGAAGGAGTCAGAGAAGGTAGAGTTGCTGAAAGCCTTCTTTGCTTCAGTCTTTACTTCTAAGGCCAGCCCTCAGGAATTCCAGACCCTGGAGACAAGAGAGGAAGTCTGGAGAAAGGAAGACTTTCCCTTGGTCGAGGAGGATTGGGTTAGAGATCGTTTAGACAAACTTGACATCCACAAGTCCGTGGGCCCTGCTAGGATGCACCCCCGAGTGCTGAGGGAGCTGCTGGATGTTTTTGCTAGGCCACTCTCCCACCATCTTGGGAAGGTCATGGAGAAGAGAGGTATTGAAAGAGGGATGAGGTAGACAGCTGGAGGTGGAAAAGCTTTTCAAAATCTCAATTAAACCAGTTACCACTTATAAGTTAACAGTATATGTGCTAACAAATTTTAGACAGGATCACTTTTGAGTACTCCAGGATGCCTTTCATGCAGAGTTAAGAGAACAGAAGCATCCGAGTTTGATGATGCTGGGGAATGAACAGCCAAAGATGAGCCTGTACAGAAGTTACTGTGTCCCCACACATACCATGCTTCCCAGCAAGTACGGTAAAGATAGTTGGCTGAACTGTTCTTTCCACCACAGGCTTATCAAGTGAGTCTGTCCACCCTTCCAGGGGCACAGGGACAACCAGGGAAAGGTACGAGAGGACTGTGAGTATTTGAGAGACTTAGTGACGGTCTTTAGTCTGAAGGGCTTCTGACACAAACTTGTGAGAAAGCAATGCCTGGGCTGTAACATACAGTCTAAGGAGATGTCCCTGTCCTAGGCAGAAAGCACTGTTGTAGATGACTGTGAGAGTTTTGTATACAGACAAGAGCGATCTCACAGCCTGGAGAGATGGGCGGAGAGGAACCTGCTGAGGTTCAACAAAGGCAAGTGCAGGGTCCTGCACCTGCGGAGGAATAACCCCATGCAGCAGGACAGGTTGGGGGTTGACCTGCTGGAAAGCAGCTCTGCCGAGAAGGCCCTGGGAGTCCTGGTGGACAGCAAGTGAAGCATGAGGCAGCAATGTGCCCTTGTGGCCAAGAAGGCCAAGGGGATCCTGGGT